TGTTTTATGTATGTTTACATTAGAACCTTAGCTTGTAATTACAGTTATCCAATAAAATTTCTGAAAACTTAATGACATATGTTTTTAACTCATACATAGTATGAGTACAGTTTAATACATTTATTATTATAAAACTTATAACCAGTACTAGATGTTCTAATAACGATATGGAACACTTTAATAACAGTTATTGCTATTATTTCGTAAGGGGTATAAAAAACGTTGTATACTAGTTATACAATAATTTAATAAAGAATAAGGTTTGGTCATTATACAACTGTGCTAGCAGTACGCGTTTTATATCCAATATTCACTGTTAACTGTCACATATAGTATATAATGGTCTTATAATGGCATATAGAATAATTCTAATAAAGAATAAAGCGCATTTCTTTCAGTGTATGAATTCCTATTAATTGGTTATATACTTTACCATATGAATATTAAAAAAAAATCTGTTACTATCTATGTAGGTCTGGCAGTACTATATTTTCGATATATGTTTAAATATTTGCTTACAATAAAGGATATTCTTTTCTTTATTTTCGTAGTTGGCAGAGTGATCAGCAATCTATTTATTTTTATTTGCAATAATCACATCACAGACGCGTCCCAGATATGGCAACAATCATTGCCACATAAAATAATAATAGTCAGTATTCTTCGTTTACAAAAATATTTTCATTCATGAAAGAAGTATCATACAATTTTAATAATATAAAACAAATAGCTTTGTTTGCTAAAATTAATATTAATCGGCGAAATAATTACCTATGTGTTTAATTTGGCACTAAAGAAGATTTAATGTCTTGGCTGCTTGCCATTAATGTTGTACTTTACTGCCTAGTTAAACAAATAACTGTTTTTTTATTCTCAATGTACCTTTTTCACTGAAAATTTGTCATTTTCATTATCTGAATTGTCGATATGCGAATAAATAAGAGTTTGGGTCACTGCCCCACCACTTAAGATAAACTACCGCTACTCTAATGCTTATGTCCACAAACAAAATTGAGCGTCCTGTTTAACACAGAAATACTGACGATATTGGAGTAAACGACTAAACCTGGCTGGCACTGAATTATATGTATCTGCAATATCTGATAATCTGGAATTATAACAGTTCCCAGAAATATCCCATTAAACTGTGTACTAGTGATGGGAATAACGGCTGGAAGTCGATAACGTTATAACGTTGGAAAAGAATAATGTTCTAAAATAACGTTATTTTGGAACGAGGTTACTTCTGGNTGTCAAACGCTTTTATAAAATCAGTATAGATTGCATCAATTTGATGTTTTTCCTTAAATGCCCCATATATATCATTAGTAAATAAAAGTAAATTAGTATTTATTGACTTTTTTGCAACAAATCCATGTTGCTGTGTTGAAATATTTTTCTCCACATGCTGATACAATTTTGTATAGATAATATGTTCAAATAATTTGGCTAGGGCACACAAAATTGCAATTCCTCTATAATTTGCCACATTCGATTTTTCCCCACTTTTGTGAATTGGAGTATATTTGGCCATCTTCCACAAGTCCACAAACAAAACTGAGCGTCCTGTTTAACACAGAAATACTGACGATATTGGAGTAAACAACTAAACCTGGCTGGCACTGAATTATATGTATCTGCAATATCTGATAATCTGGAATTATAACAGTTCCCAGAAATATCCCATTAAACTGTGTACTAGTGATTGGAATAACGGCTCGAAGTCGATAACGTTATAACTTAGAACGTTGCAAAAGAATAATGTTCTAAAATAACGTTATTTTGGAACGAGGTTACTTCTGGAAGTTTGACACCGAGTGCGTTCTGCGTCATCGTGGCTGATTTGAAGGGACTATGATGTGTAATGTAACAATAGTAACTATGTAAGTTTTATTATTTTGATGCGTTGACAACCGATATTCTTATATACTTTCCTATTTGTACTTATATTTTTTGTTTTCTTTTGCTTCTTTAGTATAAAGTTCATTTTTATAATATTCATTGTATTAACACAATATGTACAAATAGAAATCTGCAGTTTTCACCTTCATAAATAAAATGAATGTCTACATAGCCATTACATATTATTTTCTACATTCCAATACTTTCACATTGTAAAACGAAAAAATTAAGGGATCAAAAAAAATATAAATTTTCAGCGATTTTTCAAATGGCTGTATCTTTGATAAAAATGGTCGTATTGGAGTAAAAAAAAAGCAATTTGAAGCTTGAAGTTCCTAATTTTTGGATCTTGCAAAATTTTTCAAGTAACACGTATCGCGCAATCTTAATGAATATCATGAAAAAAATTTTTCAAAATTTTTTTCGATCTTATTTTTGGTGTACGGACATGAAAAAAAATTTTTCAACTTAACCACCTTATGGATTAGATAGGTTGTTCATTTAGCTTCAATTTCTTTTTGGTCTCGATACGATCATTTCTCGCTGAGCTGTCGGACTTTGAATGAAAATGGATCATTTTCTCTTTGTTCATCGATATCTCAGAATCCAATGGTTGCACAGAAAATCGACGGTGGGTTTCAGAAACTTGAATGAATTCTCTACAAGGTTCTGGCACGGTTTTTTAGAAAAAAAATTTTTTATCCTTAACATCACTGAAAAATCGTAAAAAATAGGACTTTTAGGGGTCTTCTAGAAAATCACGTGCCACATTGAGAATATTGGGAAAATGACTAATGTTAAGTATGCCTTTTACATGTCATTGTACCCCTAAAAGCCCTACACAGTGTTAATTCGATCCATCAAGCCGTTTTTTTATTTCATTCGATTGAATTTTTTAAAATATTAAAGGACGTTTTTTGCCTTTAAATGCTCATAATCTGTAAAAAAAATGAAAAAACATGTTTTCCTGATTTTTACATTCTTATTGCAGAAAGCGTTTGAAATAATGAAAAAAAAATTTTTTTTTGAACCGATTCTCAGAAATTTCGCAAAACCGCCGGCAATAGCGTTACCCAAAGCGTACCACGTGGAGGTTGCACGGTCGGATTTAGGCTTATTTTACACACGTGCGAAATTTATTCAATTTTTTTCTACTGAAAAAAAGGTGGTTTGAAAACAACTGTTTGTTTTAGTGTTCTGTAAATTCGGAAAAAGCGTTTTATGAATTCAGAAGTATCGCAGCAACAATTTCTGAAAAGGGTATAGTTCAAACGCTTTCTGCAATAAGAATGTAAAAAAAATCAGGAAAAAAATGTTTTTTTCATTTTTTTTACAGATTATGAGCATTTAAAGGCAAAAAACGTGATCCTTTAATTTTTTTAAAAATTCAATCAAATGAAACAAAAAAATGGCTTGATGGATCGAATTGAAACTCTGTAGGGCTTTTAGGGCTAGAATGACCTATAAAAGGCACACTTAACATTAGTCATTTTCCCAATATTCTCAATGTGGCAAGTGATTTTCTAGAAGACCCCTAAAAGTCCTATTTTTTACGATTTTTCAGTCATGTTAAGAATAAAATATAATTAATTATTAATTAATCTAATAATTTTATGTTCTGTGTAAATTTTGTTAAATTATTTTAACGTTGTGATTTATACATTGTATTTTTTTTATAATATTAACTGTACAGTTCAAATTTTAACTGAAAATTGACATACCACGTTTGTACGGATGTATGTAAACAGTGATCAAATAAAATATCTAATATCTAAAATATCTACAAAAATTTTTTTCTAAAAAACCGTGCCAGGACCTTGTAGAGAATTCATTCAAGTTTCTGAAACCCACCGTCGATTTTTTGTGCAACCATTGGTTGAAAATGATCCATTTTCATTCAAAGTCCGATAGCTCAGCGAGAAATGGTCGTATCGAGACCAAAAATAAGAAATTGAAGCTAAATGAACAACCTATCTAATCCATAAGGTGGTTAAGTTGGAAAAATTTTTTTCAAGTCCGTACACCAGAAATAAGATCGAAAAAAATTTCGAAAAATTTTTTTTCATGATATTCATTAAGATTGCGCTATACGTGTTTTTTTTGGCAAGATCCAAAAATTAGAAACTTCAAGCTTCAAATTGCTTTTTTTTTACTCCAATACGACCGAAAATTTAGATTTTTTTTATCCCTTAATTTTTTCCATTAGTGTATTTTACTTTATTTTTGTGGTTATAAAATAAAGTTACGTTACAATCCGGTTACAGCCTTACAACGCCAAAACAACGCATTGCATGCTTGTTAGTTGTTTGCTTGTTCTATGTTCTATTTCGCAGTCGCACGTTCGTTCCTCAGTAACGTGTTACAAGAGAAGTTGGTCACGTTACGGAACGTTCCAATAAAATAACGTTCCAAAATAACGTTATTTGAATAACGACCCATCAATGGTACTGTGTATCATTATTAAAGAACACTTTCTATAGCCGAAATATACAGAAATATCTTTCGGTTTGAACACACCTATTGCAAATGTGTCCTGGATATTACTTAACGAGTCAAAAGTAACTTTTTCATAAATTTTCGCCTTTTTTTGAGTCACTGAACTCTTTGTCTCCAACTACGTAAATATTTGAAAAATATCTATACTCGATAAGATATTCACGCTGCCCCTATATAAGCAGGTCAGCTCACTGCTTCGTGTATATTATCAGTAATAATATTTCTATAGACGGCAAATCATGAAGATTTTCGCTTCATTTCTGTGTGTCTTCATCACATGTGCCTTGGTAAGTAAATTTATAACATCAAAATTAAATGAGATCTGAAATCCTTCTTGCCAATTTTTGTTTTTCTAGTATATATATTTTTGATAGTACGAAAAATAGTTGACTTTTATTAGGAATTAAATTCAAGAAAAACTAAAATTTATTGACATAAATTATTTAAAAATACACATTATCATTCGTAAGAAACAAGTATGTGAATTACTCATATATTTTTACATTATTTAGAAAACGACCGTTATTTAAATATTTTTGCTTGTCGTATATTGAGAGAAGTAATAGAAATATTTTCAATTAATTAATTTCCAATTTTTTTTTATTTTTATAAAAGTATTGGAAACACTTGTTAAATTTATTTTTCTAAATGCCACAGTTTTCGTAAGTGAAAATTTCAAAATGTGTCCCGAAGCAGATAGCTATTTCAGGTATGAGTAGATGGAAAAGTAGTTAGGATAGGTTACACATTCAATTGAAATCTGTTTTCGAAATCACAATTTTTGGGAAAATTATAAAAATGAAAAAATACTCATTCGTCATTCTCTTACTAGCTGCATATCTCTTATTATTATATAATTTTTTATTGCATTATTATTTGAAACGCTATTAGAAAATTAACTGCAGTACCATCAGTAACTTAGAATATCAGTTACCTACTTTCATATCTCCTAATACTATAAATTATTTTTACTTTGGGAAAGGTAACCTCGTTACGTTTTCAGTAATATGCCACGTTCCTGCTTATTTATTTTGCTTAACAAGTGGTTACTTCAGAATCAATTTCTATATTTTAGTTTTTATTTATATTATTAAATTATTTCCCAACACTTCATATTTCCATTTTATTTAATGACAAAATACTATTACATTTTGGGGTTTTGGGATGTGTTCTACATAAAAACAATGTATGCAAAAAGAAACATTTTAATTATATGCCATTGTTTAGGTTATTCAAATACATTGATAGTAATTAATATTTTCCATGGAACGCTATGTAAGTAATTAGTTGAAAAGGATATACCTATTTTTAAGAGAACACCCTATATATCTCTATCATCTACAAGGGTTGCTCCATTGGATGAAATTGAACCAATTTAGATAAAGTTACCTTAGTACAAATTGTGCTTCCTTAAAAATTTGGAGACCACCAAAGAAACTTTTTTCCTACTTTTTAAAGATAACTGCAATTTATAAAAATGTTTAAGTGGAATTTTATGTGGAAATATTTTTTTATGCAGTTTTTTCTAGTACTATTATTATTTTTTCACTTAAAACGTTTTTGGGTTTATGTTATACTGCAATTGTTTACAGCAGCCATCATTTTTTCCAATCATTTTGCAATCGAATGAAATATTTGTCACGATTTGATTTAAGTCCCATCCAAAAACAAGCTTTTAATAGAAGTATGTTGGTCTAAAACGTAACAACTATTTAGTTTGGCTACAAATTTAGCAAAGGTTACTAGTATTGTATTCCGAAATATTTGCTGACTATAACTTCTGGCTGTAGTAAAAAAATTAAAATCGAACTCTTGAATGGTGCATTTTAGTGATATGCAATAGGTATAACTTTTTTACAGTAAATATATAGTGAGGTTTTTTAAAAAATCTGTTCACTCAAAATCTCTACTACAAAATAAGTACAACATGGGAAAATTGTTTAAGGTGCTCTTAGCGATCTTTAGGTAAAATTAGTTAAAAAAATAAGTTTATATTCGGCTATACCAAATTAATAACAGTTAATCAACATCAACATCAAATCAAGGAACTGCGCAAAATGAAACAATTAAATACATAATGCTGCCGTGAAAAATTATAAAAAAATATTGTTTCAGCTTTGTAAAGATGACTTACCTTAAATACAATCTACATAAAGTTCTATTTTCTACTATACAAAAAAGAAGGAAAAGGTTATATATACAGTGTAGGAAAGTACCGATGGCCTCTCAGAAGTTACGTGAGAGCGATAAAGTAAGCCATAGAAATCCATGTGATAGACAAGGATGGCTATAATGAAGGCGTCTAATAGTCAACGCCCATTTCGCCCTTCCACAAATAAGAAGTGGATCTTATTTGTGGAAGGGCGTCCTTGTCTATCACATGGATTTCTATGGCTTACTTTATCGCTCTCACGTAACTTCTTGTAGACCATCGGTACTTTCCTACACTGTATAAAATATATTGTCATATGCAGAGTGATAAATACAGGGCATTAAAATTACATTTTAGTACTATGTAGGTATATTTAAAAATAAACGCAACACGAATTTGAAATTTCAACCATAGATAAAGGGCAAATTTGTATAATTTTGTTTCTTATACTTTTTCTGATTCGCTGATTCAGTTACTAAAAATATGTACTCACGTCAAAATCTGGTATATCTTGCTAGTTTTGATATACCTAATTTATCTGAGAATAATATAATTTAATACCTAATATACAGACATTTATTGATCCCGTTTTTAAAAGAATATTGCTTCAGAAAACAATCTTTGGAATGCAGAAACATATATATTAATTAATATATCGTAAACTCAAAACTTGCAAAATTGCATATTGATCGATGTGTGAGACGTACGTTTTTTTGGACATAATCAGGCCGCGTATGTATTTCATTTACGCTAAAACGTTATGTTAGAAACAACGTTTGTAAATATGTAACGTGCCGTAAACGGCCGCTATTTCATGTTGTACGTAGGTACCTGTTATTTGCGCTCTACGTTGTATTTGTTTCATGTTTCATAACCTAAAAGAACTCTTTTAGTTGTATGTGTTTTTGTCTATTGAGTCGGGTATTTATAATATATTCTGCATTATTATTATTAAATACCTATGTCATTCTCAAAGTTCGCCCCTAAAAACAGATTTTTCTAAATATCTGGGGTTCTAATCAATATTTTGGAATAAAACAACATGCAAAATTACTTATAAAAAAAAAACAGATGTTATTTTTTATTTCAAAAAACTATATTTTTCAAACATTTTTTATATATAAAAAATTCGTATTTGTTAAAAAAAAATAAAAATATAACTTATGTAAACAAATTAGCAAAATTAAATTCTCGAACAACCCCCTAGTGAGCGAAAAATGTCTATACGATTAGAATTAACAATACAAAATAAAAAGTTTTTAATTTTTCTCTAATCATACGAATAATTTGTTCTATTAGCCTCAAGCGGATTTAAACGGATGCAAACTACCCCTCATGTTCACCCCCAAAAACAGTATTTCTGTGACATCTCGGGTTCTAATCAATATTTTGGAATGAAACGAAATGGAAATTACTTCTTATAAAAAAAAACAGATATTTCACAAATAATTTTTTTTATTGGTCTAAAACGGATTTAAACTAATACAAATTACCCCTGATGTTCATCCCTCAAAAACGGGTTCGGTAATTTCCATTTTGTTTCATTCCAAAATATTTATTAGAATCCGAGATATCACGGATATACTGTTTTTGAGGGTGAACATCAAGGGTAGTTTGCATCTGTTTAAATCCGTTTTAGACCAAGAGAAAAAATTATTCGTATGATTAGAGAAAAAGTAAAGACATTTTTCGCACACTAGGGGATTACTAGGGGGTTGTTCGCCCCCTAAAATGAGAAATTATTTTTGTCAATTTGTTTACATAAATCATATTTTTAATATTTTGAATCAATATGAATTTTTTATATATAAAAAATGTTTGAAAATATACTTAGTTTTCCTGAAATAAAAAATAAGGGTTGCAACCCCCAAACACGAAATCACTTGTGAAACATTTTATTTTTTTAAAAGAAGTAATTTCCATTTTATTTCATTTCAAAATATTGAGATGTCACAGAAATACTGTTTTTGGGGGTGAACATGAGGGGTAGTTTGCATCCGTTTAAATCTGTTTGCGGCTAATAGAACAAATTATTCGTATGATTAGAGAAAAAGTAAAAACTTTTTATTTTGCAATGTTAATTCTAATCGTACAGACATTTTTAGCACACTAGAGGGTTGTTCACCCCCTAAAAAGAGAACTTAATTTTGTCAATTTGTTTACATAAATCATATTTTTTATTTTTTTTTAACAAATATGATTTTTTTATATATAAAAAATGTTTGAAAAATATAGTTTTTCTGAAATAAAAAATAAGGGTAGCAACCTCCAAACACGGAATCTAATGTGAAACATTTGTTTTTTTATAAGAAGCAATTTCCATTTTTTTTCATTCCAAAATATTGATTAGAACCCCAGATATTTAGAAAAAACTGTTTTGGGGGGCGAACTTTGAGGATGTATTTCACCCCCTAAATATGTTTTTCCGCCGATAAAAAAATATGTCATTTAATTTTTTATGTTCTACAACCGAGTCTACAACATATATAAAAATATTGGAAATCGGAGAGTTCGGGTTGGGGTAGTTTCCTTGTTAGATCCTTCTTCGTTTGATTTAACCTAACAATAATTTTAGGGTAAATACTTACCTAAGTTACTTAAATTTTACAACTTACCTTCGATGTGCGTCTATAAAACCGGCAAGTAAATGTAAATTTAACAATTTCATTCATTTTCATTACACAAATAACACGTACGTTAAACTATAGCAACACCAAATTCCTTGCCTTTAAGAAACTCTGTTATAATTTAAGATAACGTGTTACAAACTATTTTATGTCGTACTTTACCCGTTATTTACGAGTTTGCATTTGTTTCATGTTTCATAACCTAAAAGATATCTGTCAGTTATATGTGTTTTTGTCTAATGCTGACTCTTGTTTATAATAATTTTGCATAATTAATATTAAAAATGTCGGCACAACAGCGTCTTCAAAAAACAACAAAATTGCAATACGAGTATTTGCTAAAAATGGTCTTAATTCCTCAATAACGTGCACGTTATATCTTAACAGTTAACGTTAACCTTAACGTTTAACCCTGAAATAACATAACTGTTATTATGATAAAATGGGATACATACTCAGCCTGAATGTTTGTCAATTTTTAATTGTGGATAAATAATAAATTATTGATTCTATTGGATATATACGAGGCGCTCGCAGTAAACAATGGCCATACAGCAACCACAAATTCCTTGGGTACAGACAATAAAATTTAAGTTTCCTTACTTTAATCCAATAATGTTTTACCTTCGAAATGATTTTTTGTTAGTATCTGAGAATGGACAAATATCTGATTCAAATTTCGTACCCGTTCTAAGGGCATGGGAAGCAACAAAAATTATCTTCAAACATCGCACGAGTGGCTTACTAGGGGATGTATAATACTCTTTTTTTTGGAAAATATAATAAAAATAAATATACAATAAAAAACAGCTACGTTTCTGAATGTTGTTGATTTCACACAAAAAATGCTTCAATTTATCTGTTTTGATAAATTTCGAATCAATAGAAAGTATTCAATTTGGCATCCTTCCAATTACTGTTTTTTAATGAATGAATCTACAACAAAAATATATTTGTTTTTTGGGACTTTTTATAATAATTTCTTTATCATGCCTATGAACCTACTTGCTATGAAAGAGTTCATTTAACGAGAATGTAAAAAAACTATTTAGAATTAATTTAAATTAGCTTAATATTTTTAAAATAACAAATATGCAATAGCTATAATATAAATATATAATTCTGAAAAATACCTGAAGTTATTATCTACAAATCTTTAGGTTTACGGGGCACCATCCATTAGAGACATTCACGGTGAATGCCAATCCGACCCTGCAACTCGCTTGGACCATGATGAATTCAAAGCAGTTCGCACAGGAGAGTCTTTTGACAGGACGAAAGTAGGTGCCCACATGCTCTGTATGAACAAGAAATTTGGTACTCAAAACGCAGACGGTACCGTCAACAGAAACGCAGTCAAAGAGGTGCTGGCCCAAGACATTACCGATGAAACTAAACTGGAAGAAATCACTAACAAATGTGTCGAAGAGGGATCTACTCCTAGTGAAACTGCCCTGAAACTGAGCAAATGCGTTTCTGAGAACACAAAAGGCGGGAGACACGGACACGGACACGAGCACCATCACGGACACCATCATGAACATCATCATGACCATTAAATAACACATCGAACAAAAACATATGAAAATTGTAATTTTCTTTTGTTCAATAAAATTGATAAGCGGTCATTAGTTATATTTAATCGTCTGTAACACATACGTTAGAAGGTTCTTGGGATGATTCATAGCCCACCATTAATAACGGGTGATTCATTTAGAGGTACTTTTTTCAACAACAACAAAAAATAACAAAATTCTACTTTATGGTGCAATCTTTATTATTATATAAAAAAACTATTTCTGACATTTATTTTTTAAATATTATTTCTTTCAAATGTTGTCCTTGACTGCGGTTGAGATGGTCCATTCTGAAGTTCCAATTTTCGATGACACGTTCGAGCATTTCGAGTGGAATTTGACGAATGACCCGAGTAATGTTGGCTTCCAATTCCTCAATCGTATTCGGCTTATCCATATAGACTTTGGACTTCACGTAGCCCTAAAGGAAAAAGTCTAGAGGTGTGATGACACATGATTTAGGAGGCCAATTCACTGGTCCAAATCGTGAAATTAACTGTTCATCGAATTGTTCTCGCAATAAAGCCATGGTTGCACGGGCTGTATGGCAAGTGGCGCCGTCTTGTTGGAACTAAATGTCATCGAGATTACGGGCTTCAATTTCAGACAGCAAATAGTCTGTTAGCATGGCGCGATAACGGGCGCCATTCACAGTTACGTTCCTGCCGGCCTCATTTTAAAAAAAAATATGGAGCGATGCCCATAAACCACACCAAACCGTTGTTTTGTCTGGATGTAATGGCAGCTCTTGAAGTTCTTCGGGTTGTTCTTCATCCCAAATACGGCAATTTTGTTTATTAACATAGCCATTAAGCCAGAAATGAGCCTCATCGCTGAACAAAATTTTGGTCGAAAACATTGGATCTTCTTCAAGCTGTTCAAGAGCCCAAAGACTGAAACGGTGAGATTTGGAAGGTCAGCCGGCTTCAATTCTTGAATGAGTTGAATTTTGTATGCTTTCAAACCAAGATCCTTACGTAAAATACGCCAAGTTGTTGCATACGATAAGCCAAGCTGTTGAGATCGGCGCCGAATTGATTCATTATGGTCATCACGTACACTCTCGGCTACCGCCGCAATATTTTCTGCACTTCGTGCTGTATGCGGTCTATTTCGTCGCGTATTATCCAATAATGAAAATTGGGTTTCAAACTTCTCGACAGTGTAGCGAATTGTGCGTTCGGTGGGCCGATTATGTAGACCATATGTTGCTCTAAGAGCACGAAATACACTCCTAGCAGAACGCTGATTCTCGTAGTACAGCTGAATTATTTGTAGACGTTGTGCCGGGCTAAGTCTTTCCATGATGAAATGTCAGACAGTACTGAACCAAAATACCACGACAGTTCAATCAACTCATGCATGATCTGTCTTAAACTCGCTACTGAAAAAAGTACCTCTAAATGAATCACCCGTTAGTATCGGCCTCTTCTAGGCAATAAATAATGCCAGTTAAGTGATATTTAAATAAACTTCAGCTGTCAACTGTAAATGAAAATATATAGGTATATAGGTAGGTATACTACAAAAATAAAAAGCTTTTGGACAAATAATTTAAGAACTTCATGTAGCATCTGAGCTTTGCACGGCTAGCGAGGACGAGAAAGATCATCGATTCCCACGATGGTAAGTTACCAGCGAATGCGTGAAGAGACGACTGAATTCTAGATACAGAAGGAGTTAGATGTCTATTACCATTTTTAATCCATGATACAAATGTTGCATTTTGCTGAAGTAAGTATAACAGTGTTTTAAGATTTAGTAGGTTCAAGTTTGAAGATTTGTTTAATGTCCAAACATTACTATCAACGTATTGCAATTATCAAAAATAAACAAAATTCAACAAAGAACATTTTGTGTTGAGAGCTTTGTTACTTTTATAATTATGATTATTATTCAAAAAGTAATATTTCTTTACCATATATTCCGAAGTGTTCTGAAAATATTAAAAAAAACTTTAAAGAAATATGAATATGATACTAATGTAGCACATTAGTACAACAAAAAATTCTTTTACAAATTTAAATCCAGTAATTTTCAATCAAAATAAAAAAAAAATATTTATATAATATTTTGTAATGATTGCTATGATAGATATATTGTCCAAACAAAACAATAATTACGTAAAAGAATTTACAATCATAAATATAACATTAGAACTGAAAATATAAATATTACTGCCTTGCCAAAACATACCACAGAAAATAATTATAACCTCTACTCTTTTTTACTTTTCCTATACTTTTGCAGTGGTATGATAAGTTAGCTAGGAGAGCACCAGGTCTTATAGGTATTTTTGGACCTAGTCCCTCCAGTGTGCTTTCGTTGCCAGCGCTTTTTGAAATGGTTAAAGAAGTCACCCACAGAGAGTTTAGAACACGGTGGAATTAAACAAACGGCTGTCGATATACTAAGGAGTTCTTGAAATACACTTGTAAAGACACAACTAAAAAGTACCTGGCTGTGTCCAGGGTAAGGCTTCGTCTGGCGATAGGTTCAAACCGGACACTGATGGTTAAGGAAACATCTCCACAATATGAGGAAATGCGAAACACCCTTTTGTAGACTTTGTGAACAAGAAGACGAGGCAGTTTTCCGTGCTCTCTGTGAGTGGTGTCTGTCTCGTCAACAAGAGAATCCGTGTTAGAAAACGATAGGCTTTTATGGCTTACATTAGAGAGATCCTCCTGAGCAATGTCATCACCTTAATCTCTTTAATAACCGTTCACGACTCAGGAGAGCTGATCTTTCGTAGGGAGGAAGCACAAGGGGCCCAAGGGGCTTAAGTGCTGCAACTCAGCACAGCTGAGTTGCCCTCCAATCAAATCCAGGATCCCCATAATCCTGTACTTTTTAAATTTAATTTCTACTAACTTGTATATTGGTAAAAGAAATCTTATAAAAACAAACCTATACGATTTCTTATGGATATTATAATTCGGCTTGTTGCGTTGTAAAACTTAATATGTTTACATATCATTTAGCCTCCGAAAATCTTTTTCTGAAGAAACCCGAAACGATCGTAAAAATAAAACAAATTGGAAAAAATACTATAAACTAAGTTATTTTATTGACCAACGTCCCAGTAATTAAATTCAGGAATTTTATATGATCAGCAAATTCATTTATATTTAATAAACAAATTTATTAATCTTTTCCAATAGGTGATCTTAGAACCTCAATTCATACCTTATCAAAAATTTCTTTCCAGATTTTTCTCACAAATTTGTTGAATTCCTTGTAGTCTTCACCAATGTATATTCATTGCCACAAATCTAATCGCATTACCTTAAAGAATTCGATTTATTTTACAATAAAAATTACTGCATTTTGAAGTTTGTTAATTTATAACAGAATGTTAGGCAACATTCTGTTATAAAATATGATAGTTTAATGCTTCATTTTTTAACAAGATCGTCATCACATGCTATAGAAGTATTTCAGTATATTTAAGCTACTACTGGTAGGTCCTGGTGGTTTCTTGTTCTCTTTAAATTATGTGACCCATTGAGTGAGAGTGTGTAATACCCTGTACGACCAACCCATATATTAAAGGCAAAGGAACGGTTAGTGTCCGAATTCATTCCTGAACGTACATCATTTTTAAGTTCCCACGTATCATAATTAAAGTGTAAAATATAATCGATGAGCTCTTTCGCAAATTGATGCTGTGGTACTGTTCGTAATGTTGGATAAAGAATTAAGCTCTCAGGACGGGAAACTTACCAGGATGAGATTTTAGGTCAAATACATCATGCCATAAAGATTCCCGCTTGCAGTTTCTTATTGGCTCTTTCCATTTTTCTGTAATGGAGGACAACCATTAGTTCTAGGCTACCCTGTAGTTGATTAAATATGATTGGGAAATCAACAAATTTTAGAAATAGTTAAGTAAATATTTTGATTTAAATATTATATCAACACTGAATAGATGTATTCATATTTTTCTGCCTTATCGGAAAGATGAACTTGATGACATCAGTGAAATCAGTAGATTGTTTTTTGTATAAAATAAAGAGAATTTCGACGATAACCTAAAATATGTACTGTTATAATTTTAATACATTTAAGCAAATTTTAAATGTTTCTCTCAGCAACGTTTATGGCCAAGTGGTTAAATAAAGTAAGTCCTTAAGGACCAAATTATTAAAGCAAGTTTAACTTACAGTTAACTAACTCTAAGCTAAGAATGTGATTTATTGCAATTAAAACATACCATTGCCAAAACATTCTAATCTTCTAGTTAGTTAACTGTAAGATAAACTTACTTTAATAATTTGGCCCTAAACTGTGCAATAAATAAAATAAAGGGGGAGTTAAGAGAAATGAAGATTTGTATGCACACAAAAATTGTTCATTATGAGTAAACTGTGTACACTTATCTTGCAATATTTTTTAGGGATAAATTCATTTTATTTTGCCAAGGAAATTAATTAGAAGAATATAATGTTTTTTTTTAAATTACTTATAAAAGTTACTACACATATTTTAGCAGGAGTAAAACATTTTTACAAAATAAATTATTGAGCAACTCAAAATTAGTACATTACACAGAGTGTTATCTAATAAATATTACATACCTCAAGTACCCAAATGATGTCGATTTAACCAAACTTACTAAAACGAAAAATGTTGCAAAAAAAGGTAGAGAATTTTATTCTACACAAAAAATCTATATCTAAAAGTCGAAATTATGTTCAGTTATGAAGATATTACAGAATATTTATATAGAGTGATTCATTAACAATGGGAAAATCGAAAGCTGAAGATACTACACGTGAAATGGTGACCATTGGCGCAAACATGCCTTATCGTTTCACTTTTAATTTCTGGTATTATCATAACATAGTGTTCGTTAAATCGATTTTTCTCGAAAACTGATCGAGATACCGAAATGAAACAAGAATACATAATTAATGGAAAAATGATTGCTCTTTTAGGTTTTGAATCAAGTTTCATGTTAAACATACAGGGTAAAAAGTTACTAACTAAATTTTCGGTAAAATTGGTTGTAAGTGGCGCCCTCTATTAGCAACGCTGAAATTGCAACACGCATCTTATTCGTCGCTTAAAAAAATTTAGTTTCACAAATTTTCAAGTTCCTAACCTACATATTTCCAGAATATTAACTATTCTGGAAACTATTAACTTTCCGAAAAGGCATATTTGCGCCAATGGTCACCATTTCACGTGTATCTTCAGCTTTCGATTTTCCCATGGTTAATTAATCACCCTGTATTTATATTTATTAATAGACGTTGAGCCAAAGACAATGTGCGATTTCCTTCCGCGGGAGTAAATGTAGCTTACCAATTTAGATTCGTCATGAAGGCAGCATGAATGGGATGATACTTTTTAAAATTCGGTAGCTTAGTGACGTTACAACCTCACAAAGATGTCCGCCGGCCGGGCGAAAATCGTTGTATACCATTCTAAGGTCAGGTTTTACTTGTAAGGAATAAAAGTATCATACAAATGTCGATCCTACATAAAGCCAGGATCAATGTTTGGTCACAATTATGGTCGCCGGCCAAATTCCGTTTAGGTGTATTGGCAAAAATTATAATAATACAATATTATATTATTATAATAATTTAATAATATAACAATGATATAATATAAT